CTAATCGAACTAAACCTTGAATTCTCTATATATTTGATAATTGAATTGTGAGGATTAAATCATAATTATTGAAATTACAGGAGTTTAGCGGTCTATCAATTTACTTTCTATTTATTCATCCAGAAGCTAAATCTTCATTTCCTGCAGCAGGGAAAGAACTTAACAATCGAAGGAGTTAAAAAATCAAGACAGATCATGGGTGTTCACTTGGTGTTTCACTTCATCCTGCTGCTATGGCTAATACAAGCAGCAGCATCCCAAGAGACAGACAAGTCCACTTGTACAGAAGTATGTGGGAATGTTACATCCCCATTTTGAATAAAAGACCGCTGCTATACAAACTCGTGGTTTAGAGTAACTTGCAACAAAACAGCTGATGGACAGAAACCTTTCATCTGTCGGATCAATCTGGAGCTGCTCCGTTTGTTCTCGCCAGGCAGCGAGGTAGTCGTCAATAATCCAGTAACTTACGTAAATTGCGGCAATAAGGATGATTAAACTATATATATAAGATTAAACTATATGTGTTTCTAACTTTAATTATTTTATTCATTTCGTAAATGACAGAAACAGGCAAATGTGGGAATCTTACATATAAGAATTGTCGTATGCTTTGTCTGAATACTCCTGGCAACTATTGTTCGTCGCAATGCCCTGATAAATATAAATACTTAAGTGTCGACGATAGATGCGAGCCCATAGCGATTGATTCACCAACGTTGTCAGCCCAAAAAGAACCAGACTTGGCAATCATTATAGATGCCTGTCAAATTTGCTTTCTTTTTTTTTTTTTTAAAAACAGCAGAACCAAACCTCCGACAACTCAATCGAAGGGTTCTCACTGCATTGGAAGATTCGTTTTATAATTTAGTCCAATTATAAAATGTACCCTCTCTCGGTGCGATGGCAACCTTCCTATTAGACTCCAAAATTGATGAAACTTTATTATCTATATTCAAATTTCTCCCCACTCTTATCGCTTGTATTCAAATTTACCTTTTACATTAATAAAATTTGTACCCTATAGGCTGCAGCACAAGTATTGGAACAATATTTTTGCTGCTTGGTACATGTGGTATGTACAAAGTACTGAAAAGAAGAAAAGGCATCAAGTTTAAGCAAAGATACTTTAAAACGAATGGAGGTTTATTACTGCAACAACAATTGTCCAGCAATGAAGGTAATGTAGAAAAAATTAGGTTGTTTACTTCGAAGGAGTTGGAAAAGGCAACAGATTACTATAACTACAATCGAATCCTCTGTCAAGGAGGCCAAGGAACTGTTTATAAGGGAATGTTAACTGATGGAAGCATTGTGGCAATCAAGGAAGAAAGTTAATGAAAAGAAGCTCGAACAGTTCATCAATGAGGTAATAATTTCATCACAGATCAACCATAGAGATTTGGTTAAGCTTTTAGGATGTTGCCTGGAGACAAAAGTCCCTTTGCTAGTGTATGAGTTCATCTCCAATGGAACACTGTCTCAACTCATACATGATCAAAATGAAGAATTCCCAATGACATGGGAAATGCGTTTACTAATTGCTATAGAAATTGCCAATGCATTATCCTATTTGCCTTCGGCTGCTTCTGTCCCCATTTATCATCGAGACATCAAATCCAGCAACATACTTTTGGATGATAAATACAGAGCCAAAGTATCGGAACATCAAGATCAATTGCACTTGAACAAACTCGTCGTACCACTCGAGTACAAGGAGCTTTCGGATACTTGGATCCTGAGTATTTTCGATCAAGTCAATTTACAGAGAAAAGTGACGTTTATAGTTTTGGGGTTGTTCTTGTTGAAATTTTGACAGGACAAAAACCCATCACCTCGAGACAATCAGACGAAGTGAGAAGCTTGGTACCATTTTTTTTGCTCTTAATGAAGGAGAATTCATTATTTGACATTTTTGATCCAATCACAATGAATGACGGTCCAGAAGAAGAGAGTGTAGCGGTTTCAAAGTTAGCAAAAAGATGCTTGAATCTTAATGGAAAGAAAGGCCTACAATGAAACAAGTTGCTATGGAGCTGGAGTTGATTATGTCGTCAGAAGAAGCTAATGCGATTGAATCAAGTGGAGATGAAGAATCTGATGCGGATGACATAATCGATCCTTGGGTTATTGCTACTTGTTCAACCATGTCAATTATAAACAATTTATAGTTTAACATTGTAATTACGTTCTTCCTCTGGTGTGTACTCGATGTAATATATCTTCATAATTAGTTCATATTTTTATCCTTCTTCTAAATTCAAAAATTTTTGTCTTATTCCTTATTCATGTTATTTTTTTTATTGAATACTTCTTTTTATGTTTTCAATTTTTTTAAATACATTTTGCAAGAAAAAAATTTAATAAAAGTAAGGATGACAAAATAATCCATTTTTCTTAGATTTTGATTGTTCCCTATCTAATATGTCCGTGTTTTGAAAAATTCTAGATAAATTCAAGGTTTTTCTTTTTTTTTTCTAATCGAAGTCAGATTAAAGGTGAATTTAGAATGTTTTATCTTGTACCGAGTATATATATATTTATATTTTAAAATATTTATATAAATGAGTTTCAACTCTTCTGAATGCTATGGATATGTTTTTTGTTTGGGATCTAATTGAGGTTTTTCCCCAAAAATCAAACTCGAGTCAAAGGTGGGTTTATAATGTTTTGTCTTACTTTCAATTGATATTAAATTATATTTTTAATTATTTATTTGTTTTATTTTTATATTTATATCTATGTATTATATTAATCAAATTATTATTTAATATCTTAATTTAATAATAATATTTTTTATTTAGGTACCTTATTAGAAATTCTTTTATTTAGATACCTCATTAGAAAAAATGTAATAATTTAGGGGCAAATGAAGTATTATTTCTATTATACACATTTATAAAGAAATTTGGTCAATGACAATTTTCTTCTTTTTTTTTTTTTAATTCGTGTTTTTTTTTCTACACATAAGATGTGAATATGAGACTCTTAAATGTATGTTATGGAATATTATTTAAATATGAGTTTACGGATCACCACCAATCAAACAATTAAATGTGAAACCATACATCTCTCACTTACAAACCCAATTCTGAATACAAATTCTCACATTAGGGATAAAAAGTGCAAATAAAGACCACAAGATATACGTAAAAACCATCCAACAACAACAACAACAACAACTTTTTCACTCGAAAAAAGAAAAAAAAGATAAGTCAGTTCCACTTTTTCACGAAGTTTGATGAGACTGATTGCAATACTGGCAGTGTAATTCAAACTTTCGACGGAACATTACTTTTTAAAGTTTGGTGGGGTAGCTGAATCATATTTTAGGGAGAATTAGAAAAGCTCCGGTCTATTACAAATTTTTATTAATTGCTGCTATCGGAATAAATTATTACATTAAAGGAAATGGCAAGTTTTAAATTTATAACAAAAAAAGAGTTATTTTTACTCTTTTTGATCTTAATGACTGAGTTTGTGTTAGAAAGAAAAAAAAAAAAAGAAAAAAATTTTCTTTTCCTTCCGGTTAGTGTCAAGCTACTTCCCACTCACATTCCCAGCTTTCGTTTTGTTTTTTCCCATTTTAAATTTTCTCAAAAGGAAATAGTTTCTCAACACAAAATCAAATAAAACAAAATTTGAATCTCTTTAATCTCTATCTTTGTCTAAAAGGTTTGTTTTCTCTCCAAAATAGCGGAATCTAAGACCCAGTTTGAATCCATGAACGAATAGGTCATTGATTACAGGCTTATAACTGTTGACAATTTATTTATTTTTATTTTTTTAAATATTGTGTTTCTTTTTTTTTTCTTTTTTTTTTTTTTCAAACGAAAGGGTATTTGTGGCTTACCGGTATTGTAGGTTCCATTGCTTATAATTAAGATCATTCATGCAAGGTAAATCTTTTATCTTTTTCATTTATTTTCTTTTGTTGCTTTATTTGTGTTACTAAAATTTTTTTAATTCATATATATGATTATAATAAATTATAAATCTTTTGTTTAGATTCATGCAAAAGGGTATTCAAAAATAATGAAATTTGTCCCATATTTGATTGCTAGAAGCTTGAAAATGAGAAAATAATGAGAAATTTTTATTTTTTATTAGAATTTTGCTTTTGTCTTCTGTGTTTGATAAATTTACAGGGCTTCAAAGAATCCTTCTACTATTGTTGGTTTTGGGTTATAAATGGTTTGATTATTTGTGTTTTTAGCTATTGTTTTGTATTAGATAAGGCAAATATTTTCACCACTTATGTTATAGGATGCAAATTATATTATCTTTAGGCCTTAATTGATTGTTGTCTCGGGTATATCCAAACTGTTGGCAGTATATGAGTAAAATTTTGCGAAACTTTAAGGTTTCCATTTTAACGTTTTTCGTAAAATAGAGTCAGAGCTATGGTAATTTGCTATTTCTGAATATTTTGCAGAAGATTTAATTGTACTGGAAGAAGAACTAGAAAACTGTTTTTATAAACCAAAAAAAAAAAAGAAAAGAACTATTACAATGGTTTTTGTTGGTTTATTATGATGAGGGGATTTTTCTAGGTTGTGGTGAAAATACCATGTCATGTGATTTTGCTTGCACTTTGTGTGACATTCTATCAATTTGATTGTGTAAGTTTGATTAAAGATCATATGCAATGCTTTCCTCTTACTCTATTAGCCCTAACAAATGACAAAAATTATTGCAACTAGTAGCTTGCTCGCACTTTGCTACAGGATTTGTTTACTTTGTTCTATTTTTTTAATATAAGTCTAACCTACAAATTATGAGAAAAATAAAAATTTATACTTTGTTCTATATTTTTTTAATATAAGTCCAACCAACATCACCCCATTCTTCACATGCTTTGTGAGGAAAACCATGAAAAAGTATAAATTACTTAACTATGGCATGTAGGGATGCAATTGAAAGTCAAGAATATTTGCTTCAAATCACAATCTTGAATTATGTTTGTGAACAAAATAATGTACCTTCCCAAGTTGATCAAATCAATCAAGATGATTAAGTAACTCCATCAGTGTTCTCTGTATTTCACGATTAGCACTTGTTCCTTCACTGAAACGACATCCACCAATGGCATCAATCTCACCCATAAAGATTATGCAAAGCTGAATAAAAAGAAACAAATGTAAGAATGATATTAACAGATATAAAGAAAAAAAAGATCTAAACTCCAAGTTATCACTGGGTGATCACGTGCATATCCAAACATTTCTCGTATCAACCTTGCACTTTCTCCTATGTATTTGTCAATTATTACACTCGAAACAACCTGAATTCAAATAAGGAGAAGGCAAATGCATTCATCCAGGGGCAGGATAGCATGCCAAAGAAAACCACAAAGGTAAGACATAAGGTACCAAAATACTAACCTTTAAGAAGTTAGCATCATTATTACCTACTATTGCTCTAGCTAACAATGTCTTGCTCATACCAAGAGGTTCATAAAGGAGGACACTGTTAGGAATAATGACTTAAATTCCATAAGAGATTTGTTTGGGATTTGTTAGATTTTGCTTGATGGACAAAAAGACTTATAAAAGAAGAATTCTAAGAGAAAGAGAATTTTTAATAGGTAAGTTTGACTTGCAGAAAAAGATTCTAAGATGAAAGGGATTCTTAATAGGCAAGTTGGTATAGTTATAAATAGGTGAACTCTCTATAAGGTTAGGCATGAGAAAAAGATGTAAGAAAGTTGTAGGGTTTTGTGGGATAGACACCCTATAAGAGTACTGGGGCTTTACGTCTTATGAGTGTGTATGTTTGTTTGTGAGTGGACTAAAGGAGACTGAGAGGGTCTACATAGGTATGATGCATGGGTGTATGGGTATTTGTTTTGTTGTGTTGAAAGAGTGCACATGGGTATGTGTTTATTTGGGTTAAGAATACTCTATAGGACTAGAAGAAATTGAGAAGGACTATGGGTATTAATTGTTGAGTGAGATTGTTTTGATGTATGTTTGTAATTCTCTACAACTAGTGGATCTTGTTTTCATCTGTGGATGTAGGTCAGTTGGACCAAACCACATTAAATTGTTGTCTCTTGTGCGATTGATTGATTATTTGATTTCGCTTCTGTTGATATAATTGGATTAAGGATTTTTGGCCTAACAAGTGGTATCAGAGCCAAAGGTTCAAGATGTGGGAAGAGTTAAAGGTTTAAGATGTAGGAAGAGACAAGCTTAAAGGAGTTCGATTCAAGGAAGAAATTCTAGTTCATGTTTTAAAGATCAGTTTGCATGAAGCGTAAAGGCACACAAGAAAAGATGATTATGAGATTTTCATTGCAAGTGAAGCCAAGCCTGTCTAGCATAAAGAGAAATGATTGATGAAATTTGAGTTAAGGTGGAGATTGTTAGGAATAATGACTTAAATCCCATAAGAGATTTGTTTGAGATTTGTTAGAGATTTGTTTGGGATTTGTTAGATATTGCTTGATGGACAAGAAGATTTGTAAAAGAAGAATTTTAAGAGAAAGACGATTTTTAATAGGTAAGTTTGACTTATAGAAAAAGATTCTAAGAGAAAAGGGATTCTTAATAGGCAAGTTTGTATGGTTATAAATAGGTGAAGTTTGTATAGGGTTAGGTATGAGAAAAAGATATAAGAGAATTATAGGGTTTTGTGGGATAGACACCTCATAAGAGTACTGGAGCTTTACATCTTATGGGTATGTATGTTTGTTTGTGAGTGGACTAGAGGAGACTGAGAGGGTCCACATAGGTATGATATATAGGTGTATGGGTATGTATTCGGTTGTGTTGAAAAGGTGCACATGGGTATGTGATTGTTTGGGTTAAGAATACTCCATAAGATTAGAGGAGATTAAGAAGGTTTATGGATATTAATTGTTGAGTGAGATTGTTTTGATATATGTTTGTAATTCTCTACAACTAGTGGATCTTGTTTCTCATCCATGGATGTAGGTTAGTTAGATCGAATCACGTTAAATTATTGTCTCTTGTGTGATTGATTGATTATTTGATTTTACTTCTGTTGATGTAATTAGATTAAGGCTTTTTGGCCTAATAGTATTTACTGAGAAGAGAAATGGAGTGTCGGTCAAGTTGCCAGTACTAGCACGAGCAATGCTATTATTATCTTTATTGCCACAATTTACGTAAGTTACTGGATTATTGACGACTATCTCGCTGCCTGGTGAGAACAAACCGAGCAACTCCAAATTGATCCCACTGATGAAAGGCTTTTGTCCATCAGTTGTTTTGTTGCAAGTTACTCTAAACCACGAGTTTGTATAGCGACCGTCGTTTATTCTAAAGAGGGATGTAATTGTAACATTCCCACATACTTCTGTACAAGTGGACTTGTCTGTCTCTTGGGATGCTGCTGCTTGTATTAGCCATAGCAGCAGGATGAAGTGAAACACCAAGTGAACACCCATGATCTGTCTTGATTTTTAACTCTTTCGATTGTTAATTTCTTTCCCTGATGTAGGAAATGAAGATTTAGCCTCTGGATGAATAAATAGAAAGTAAATTGATAGACCGCTAGACTCCTATAATTTCAATAATTATGATTTAATCCTCACAAATTCAATTATCAAATATATAGAGAGAATTCAAGGTTTAGCTCAATCAAATTATATAATTATTTATAAAAAGTGACATTTAACAAGTAAAGATTTAAATCTCGATATTTACATTTTTTTTTTCAATCTCCAAATCGATGTCTTACAAAGAAATTTCTTAGGTATTGTGCTCTCATTTTGCAATTTCACACCACTAAAGGCACTAACAATGTTCATATTAAGAGAAACATATCATCTATATCTAAAAGTATGAACTCTAAAACTATTAAAAATAAACGACATAAATACCCTTACAAATTTTAAGAAATAACAAATTGACCTTTAAATTTGTAGCATTTTTTATTTATGTATTAAAGATTATTTTCCATTAAATATATATAATTTATTAGTTAATTATTTAAATTAATCCAAAAGTGTTAAAAGTGAATAGCATAAATATCCTTATGAATTTTAAAAAGTAACAAATTTACTTTTAAATTTCTAGCATTTGTTTATTTATTTATTTATTTAATAAAGATTATTTGCCATAAAATATATAACCTTTTATTCATTAGTTATTTAAACTTAAATCAATTAAAAATTTATGAAGAGAATTTATATCAAATTAAACTAAATTAAAAATTTATTTGTGGGATATGTTGGATGTGTTGTCTAAAATTAACCCATATTTACTCTTATCTTTTTTTTTGTAGGATTTTTTGTTCAATTTCATAAGTAATAATTCAATTAAATTCATATAAAACATATTTCTCATCCTGTAGGCTATGGCATACTATGAGTCCTTAATATTGAACAAAACATAGATAAAATCTTTCCTCTATTGCTCAATGAGTCATTATTTTAGTCTAAATTATTATATCATAATGTTTATGCCCCAAAAACATTTAATTTTATCTTAAGTAAAACATAAATTTTTTTTTTTCAAGATACAACCTAATTTACTCTTTATCTTCTTTAATAGTACATATCATGAGTCATTAAATATATTTATATTATTTATTTATTTAATTTAGATCAATTAAAATTAAAGTTCATACAAAATTATTAATTAAATTATCAAAATATTATTGAGAAAGAGTAATACATGTATTGTGGTAAGTTTGTATGTTTGAATTTTTTTATTTTTTATGATAAATATACATTTATATGTTTAATGATTGCAATGGTTGATTTATTTTACTATAATATTTCTAATCACTCTATGCAATCACATCTTAACATTACAATGACTAAATGAATATTTACTTTATGAACATAATCTCCTGTATATGTGAATTGTTACTAAACTTAGATTTTATTTTGTCTTCTATAGATTGATTTTATATAACATCCAATTTAATTTCAATCAATCCTTATTTTTTTATTTTTAATTTCAAATTTTTTTACTTAAGATATTTTTATGAAACCATAGTCAATATTGTTAAGAAACATTAATCTTGAAGAAAAGAAATTATTTGATATAATGTTAGTTGAGTTTTTTTTTTTAATTCCACAAGTGGGTTAAAAAATTAACACATCACTCACTTACTTTTTCAATTAGTTTTTTTTTTAATATAACTCACTTATTTTTTCAATTAGTATTTTTTAATATACTTTGAAGCTTAAAGGGTATGTGTGTTACATTACTAATTTCAATTGTGAAATTTAGAAACTCTACTATCAATATATTTTATAATTTTCCCTTGAATAATATAAATTTATTTTTTTCAATTAAGAATGCTCTAGAATTTTTTTGTATTTTGATAGTGAAAAATATTTTAATCACATGATTAATTGTACGAATTTTGTTGAATGATCAAAGCTTTGTTAGTTTTGTAACCAATTATTATATTATTTGAATCAATAATGTTATAGTTTATTTTCTGTTATTTGTTTATATTCTTTAAGTATATGATTATTAATTTGTACTCTTATCATGAAAGCATCTATTTAATAATTATTTGTACTTTATGAGTGTGTTTATTATAGATAAATACATGTATTATCTTTGATATCTACATATAAAAATGTGAACTCTAAATAATATTAAGTGATTTTTTTATTTGTTACATTCCTATTAATAATACATTTTTTTAATCTGCTTCCTATCTCCATTCTTTTTATTTTGGATTTTCAAAGAGTGTGCTTGTGTGTATATTGATGGGTGAAACACATTGTGGTGGAGTAATGTTTGGTTAAAAATCATATGAAATTTTTGGTTTTCATTGTAGGGTGTCTGTTGGGATTTGCCTTGAATCTTAAAATCTCACATCGAAAGTGAGTTTTGAGTTTGTCTTATATCCCACATCGAGGGTTTAATAAAGGTATAAAGGGTTTCACCCTCATAAATATGATGTTTTGGTTTTGATTTTGGTTTGGTAATCCCAGAGAGTTAGACATCAAGAGAATAGCCAAGTGATTAGCCTATTAAAGGGTGAAATTGAGTTTTGGGTTAAGTTTTGAGTAAGGAGTTTTTTAGAGACTTTTCTTATTCTAAAAGTCTCACAGTTGTAAATGTTTATTTGTTAGTGGATTAGGTTTGGAGTAGGTCATTTTGAGTTGGGCTGAAACAAATATATTTGTGTGCTCTTATTCTTGATTTGAGCTTACTATTTTGTGTGTGGGTGCTGCGTGTGCATGTTAATTTTTCCAACAAGTGGTATCAAAGTAAGGTTTGAGGTTTAAGGTTCGTGGGCCTAAGAGATCGTGAAGCAATGTTTGAAGATGTTTGAAGAAGTTATGTTTAGTATGCCTATGCCTAAGTTTGAGATTCCGTTATTTGATGGAAAGAGTAATTTTATGTTATGGTAAAGTACGATTCAAGATCTGTTAGTACAACAAGGGTTGGATCAGGCATTAAAGAGTAGTAAGCCTGAGGAAATGTCTGATGCTAATTGGAATATGATTCAAAAGAAAGCTGTTAGTACTATTAGATTAGTGCTAGCTCCAAAGGTAAAGTATAATGTGTTGACTGAAAGTACTCCGAAGAGTTTATGGGATAAGCTTGAGGGTATTTATGTTTCGAAGTCATTGACTAATAGATTATGTTTGAAAATAGATCTATATTCTCTAAAGATGAAAGAAGATATGAGTCTTTATAATCACCTGGATGAGTTTAATAGATTAGTTTTTTAATTGCTAGCAATTTCTGTTGATAAGTTAAAAGATGAAGAGAAGGCTTTAATTTTACTGTCATCTTTGCCCAAGTCTTATAGGCCTTTAGTTCAAACTGTGTTGATGGGTATATCTACTTTGAAGTTAGATGATATGACTACCTTGTTGTGTGAGAACGAAAGGTTTATGGGAGCACAAAACTCATCACCTAGAGGAAGTACACTAGCTGTAAAGGGTTTTGATCGAGGGAGGACTCAAAAGAGAATTGATGGATCAAGAGGGAGATCTAAGTTAAGAGACAGAGATTACACTAACATAGAATGTTATTATTATGGTGAAAAAGGACATATCCAAGTATGTTGCAAGAAGCTAAGAAGGGATATGATTGCTTTCTAAAGGGTGAATAATGAGAAAAAATCAGATTAAGAAAAGAGTGATATTGCTACCATCGTGTCTGATGATGATGATGTTGTTTTGACAACTTGTGTGGATGAGACTTAGATTTTGAAAGTTGATAAAGGTTGGGTTTTAGATTCAGCTGTTACAGTTCATGTTTGCAATGATAGGAGTTGCTTTGTGGAGTTGGATGAGAATGAGAAGTATGAAGATATTGTCGTTGCTAACAAAGAAAATGTGTAGATTCAAGGTATTGGGAGTGTTTGCCTTATATCTCACAATGGTGTTATTAGGATGCTTCGTCATGTAAGGTATATACCGAGTTGTAGCTACAATTTAATTGCTTTAGGTGAGTTAGCTTCTCGGGGGTACACATACTATGATAGAATGATTCGTTCAAAGTGTACAAGAATGGTAGGATGATTCTATAAGGGAATAGGGTCAAAAATCACTTGTACATGCTTGATGAGGCTCAGTTGCTGGGATCCTGTGATGAAAGAAAAAAGAAAGATAAGCGTGTTAGCTTTGGCAGATACTGTTGAAGTGTTTGGAGATTAAAGTCAAAGGAGGATTGTTGGGATTTGCCTTGAACTCAAAATCTCACATTAAAAGTTATAAGAGTTTTGAGTTTATCTTATATCCCACATCAGGAGTTTAGTAAAGTTATAAGGGGTTTTCACCCCTTATAAATATGATGTTTTGGTTTTGTTGGTAGTCCCAGAGAGTTAGACATAGAATAGCTAAGTGAGTAAGCTATTAAAAGGTGTAATTTAGTTTTAGGTTAAGTTTCGAGTAAGGAGTTTTTTTTGGAGACTTTTCTCATTCTAAAAATCTCACAATTGTAAAGGTTTATTTGTTAGTAGATTAGGTTTAGAATAAGTTATTTTGAGTTGGGTCGAAATAAATATATTTGTGTGTTTTTATTCTTGATTTGAGCTTACTATTTTGTATGTGAGTGCTGCATGTGCGTGTTGATTTTCCAACAAATACAACATATTTGGGTTAGTAGGTAGACGTAATTTGGCTACTATTTCTCGTAACCGAACTGATCATCCCGTCGGTAGCTGCATACAACCAAGATGTGGCGACCTGAGTTCTGAAGCTGTTTGTTTTGGACTATTCCTGAAAATATCACTTCCTATACCGTAAATGTGACAGAGATTAATCCAGGTAAGGGGGACAGCAATAGATGCTCATCTGCTTTCGTGCTTGAAGAATGAGAAATGCGGATTCAGATTTCACATTTCCCAATCTCATTAACAATGAAACGACGCATGTTGCTGCAACGCTGGAATGGAATCCTATCGATTGCGATTTGGAAGGTCACCACTCACTGTCACTTTAATTACTTTATGATTTTCAAT